AGCATCTCAGGATTTTGGATTTTAGCATTAGGGATGCTTAACCAATAAAGTCTATGCAAACATTCCAAAGTCTGAAAATCTCCCAACTCTGAAACACATCTGGTCCCAAGCATTTTGGATAAGGGGCACATACCTGTATATGTGAAGACCAAGCTCAATTCAGTGTTTTAAAATTTATTTTAAATTCTTCCCAAAGAAAGGCCCTCCCTTCCTTCAAAAACTAGGCTAAAATTCAAATGAAGAAGTAATTTTTAAAGCAACAAGAAGGCATGGTGTTTCCTGTGTTCTGGGTGACTTTGGAGATGGTAAGCCCAGCTGTCCATGACTTGATGCACCCAGGACGGAAGCTGAACAGCTACAGAATGGGAAAGTACAGTGGGTTCATGGAGACAAGAGGGAAACAGAAATCACAAAGTGTGAAATGCAAAGGACCTCCTGCCCCAAGGCTGGCCTGGAGATGCCCTACCCCAGTTGAGGGTGATGCTTGGGATTCAAGCCCCAGAGGTGGCCAGGTTCTGTCCAGAATTAGCAAACAGTGGATGAGGACTAGCACATGTGCCGAGCGGCACTGCCTCCATGCACTAGGAATGGGAGGCGTGCTCTGCATCCAAAAGCTATACTCAAGTGACAGTGGAGAAAACTCAGCTCTTTTTAGGAGCAGAGACAAGTAAAAGTGTCGTTAGCAGCTTAGGTTATAGAAACCAATTATTTACAAAAACCAAACTCCTTCAAAAAAAGTACTCACCAATTAAAATAGCACTGAGTTAACACATAAGACTTAGCACTTCACACCAAGTATTTCAATCAGACTTAACTCACTCTGGTAAGACACCCCTTTTCAGAAACTAGGGAAGGGCAGCCCTTGGAGGTGCTTGATGTCACATCTTCTGGAAGCCCATGGCTCTAGGCCTTCTGGCAGATGGGCTATGAAGCAATGAGAGGACCTCTGAGGGGGCAACGGAGTCAGGGTAGGCAGCTGCCAGAGAGTAGCATGAAGGCACAGCAGAGGGAGAGGTCACAGACACAAAAGTAGGGGCCAACATGGGCCATTCTATCCGGTTGGCCATTCCTACAACATGCTGGGGTGAGGGGGTGATACAGTTCAGCAGTCAGACATGACAATCTGAGCCATCCTGGAATACAGCACGATGTAACTCTATGTGACACAGAGAGATGCTTCTTCAGAATGACTGGGCTCCTTGCTCAACCCCTCTCCAATAAGTATTTCTCCAAAATATTCCTACAAAATGAACATCACCTGTCCTAAAAATTGTGTAGCTTCATTGTCTTTAAATCTACTTTTTACTCAGTTAAAAACCTACGTGACAAGCCCTGGATTAGACCAGCATGGTCCAGTATGATGGCCAGTAGACAAGACATGCAAATTTAAACAAATTAAGGTAAAATTAGACTTTAAATGCAATTACACAATCACATTTCAAGCCCTCGGTATCCATGTGTGGCTAGTGGCTACCATATTGGACAACAGTGACATCTTCATCAGTACAGAACTTCTCTGGGGCAGTGTTATAGTAAGGCAGTCACAACAGAGGCATGACCAGGTGAGCGCAAGAGACAGAAATTCTGCCCTTGTGAAGCCCACAATTTGGAGAAGAGAGCCTCTTATCAAAAAGCAACATGAACAATAAGGTTCAGAGTTAAGGCCTGGGAAAGGAAGGGCAAAGTGAGCCAAAGGAAACACGTGGGGAAGGAAGCCTTGTTTATAAGATGGGCACATTCGTTTTATTGCTTTCTGTTTTCTTGTAGTGCTGGGGATTGAATCTTGGGCCTGGAAGCATGCTAGGTATAACTCCACCACTGGGCTACCCTCCTAGCCCTTTGGACAGGCATGTTTGCATGTTAAAGGGCAGAAACTGAAATAGAAGGGCCTCTATTCCTTTCTATCCAGAGCAGGAGGTTCTGGCCAGAAGCACAGATCACAGGCTCACACACTTGAGAGGAGTTTGGAAACACAGTCCCTCTGACAATTCCCACAGCATGAAGTCACCAGTTAAGCATCTCTGGTCATTTCAGCTTGGGCTGATTCACATCAAACACTGACATGGAAACAGTAACTCGATTTAGTCGAGACTCCGTGGGAGCTGCACTGACTCATCATGGCTGTGGAATGCCTGAGACAGAGATAACCCAAGCATCTGATGGGCTGTCTCCATGTTTAAAAACTCCCAGAAACTTGGGGCCATCATCTGACCATGTCTGTGGGTGTCCCAGAGTCAAGGGCTTGGCAGCTTCAAAGGTGGTGCTGGTAAGGGCAGACGCTCTTCCTTCACTTCAGCATTCTTCTGATGGATCACACTCCTCCTCACTCTTCAAGGAGGAGGAGGAGGATAAAGACAAAGACTCCAGATCTATTGCAACTACAGAACTGACTTTGAAGGGTACTCAGAGTACTGAGGACACAGGACTGTCCTGATCCTGATCATCCAGCCTCATGGATGAGGAACAACTGGTCTGTTGTTCCTTGTGAGCCCTTCTTCCTGGCTAAGAGCTGTTACCACTTCTGAGAGACCACTGTTCCCAATCAGCAATAAGCATGATGGCTGCTGTGAAGAGATAGATTTAGAATGCACAACTCTGTCCTCTCAGGAAAGTGGAGAAGCACTGTGGGCAGGGAGTCAGCACCTGCATCTCTGAACCACGGTTAGGAGCGAGAGAAGAGATAGGTAGGGAAGTACTGCACAGAGAATAACCCACTCTTCAAACATAGTCAGGTGAGCCAAAAACAGATGGGAGACTGCCTTGTAACTCATCAGTCAGCATTTTAAAGCCAAGCTGTTTATACTGAGTGGACTTGTAAATGGATATGAGGGTTCCAGGAGGTAAAAGGACTGCATTATTCATACAAAGCTTACAGCTGTTTCCCCAACTCCCCACACCCTAGACAGGAATCACTTTCCTCAGGCTGTAGCTAACAATAGACAAGGGCCAGTCTACTGTGTTTTGTACACAAAGTACCATTGAGAGCACTCAGGATTGAGGACTGAGCAAAGCAACCAAGCAAGCAACTGTTTTCACTGCTGAGGGTTCCTATAGTGATGAGAAACAACAGCATACCCCACACAGGCTGGGGAACTGCTAGGGTGTGCTGCTTGCAGTTGAAACTTGGTGATGAGGGTTGTGTGACCATTTGCTCACATAATCACTATCATCTTCCAGTCCTCTGCAGTCTGCAGTGAGCCAGAAGGCTGCCTCACTTGTCTATTCTCATTCCCACATTTGAGGGTCAGATAACATGGAGCTCACCTTCTAGGCAATGGCATATATTCATGTAAAGCCCCATATTTGCAGATATCCTTGGCATCTAAAATTTTCCCAAGATTTCAAGGAATTTCTTTGACAAACAGAAAGGAGAAGGGGTTAGGGCAGACAATGGCGGTCATTATTGAAGGAACATGGGCAGAAGGTACCATGCAAAAAAAAAATACAGAGAAGGCAAGGTTAGTCTCATTGATACACAGTCCACAGAAAACTGCAGTGGGCTCTCTAAGCCTGAAAGACAATGCTGACCCTGCCTTAGCTTAAAATGTAAGAATTTAAAAACTCTTGTTGGATGAAATTCACTCCCAATGAGAGAATTCATACCCAATAGTTGGTAACTGCTTCCTAGGCCACAAAAGTAGTCTAAAGGTTATGAATGGGCCTTGCATGAGAGGGGCTGAACTACTCTGTACTTTTTCACTAAGACAAATGGGACAAGTATAAGGAGATAAATTCTGTCAGCACCCTCAGTGCTTGGAAGCAGGTAAGTCTCTGGTGAGAACAAAGCTCAGATGAATACCTACATCCTGCAACAAAGAACCTAACCCCACGAGCCCAGACTTCTCACCTACACAGTGTGAGATAATAAATGCATATTGTTAAAAAAAAAATATCAAGATGGGAAATCTTTGGTTTTTCAAGGTGTCTCTTTAGCCTTCAACCAACTGGCAGAACCTCAAGGTGGGGAAGACAGAAATTCAGGACTGGTCCACACCATATGGTGTTCTGCTCTTTCCCTGCAACCCAGGCCATGCTTTGCTCCTCCTCAGTCCACAATGAATGCTGGGGAAGCCAGGCTGATGGTGGCAGCCCAGAGGGGCCATGTGGCTCTGAAGAGCAGGCGTGCACTCCCACCAGGAAAATCTCAGAGACTTTTCCTAAGTGTGAGTTAGCTAATAAACTCTCCACGCCACCATCTGGCTTGTTAGGATATAATTTAGAAGCATTTGGAAACAAATCTGTGTGAGAGAAATGGAAATCACATATACTGTGTACATGCACAACCTGGAAATGCACATCAAACACTCTTGGTTACATCTACTAAAAATGACTCATAATTTCTAACCAATGGTATTAGAAATCTAACATGAGTCATGTTAGATTTCTAATACCAATTCAGTCAAATGAAAAATTTCAAAGCAGCAGTATTTTCATTAATCTGAATTTTAATCTCCATTAAATTTCCTCACTTCTGGCTTTCTTCCCACTGTAGTGAAGTACATACACCACAGACCAATGAAATGGATTTCATTGGTTGTAGTCATTATTTTACGTAAGGCCCAGAAGGCCTGAGTTCTACGCTTATACTACAAGACAAGGTAGATCATGGTCTTCTCTACTGAGCCACATTTAATTCACCTGAAAATGGATACTGAAGTTTCTGCCCGGCTCACTTGGCAAGAGTCACAGGAAGATCCAGTGGGTTAGGACATGTGAAGACTTGACAAACCAGAATGACTTGTTTAGGTATTTCCCTATGATAGTCCTCTGATGCATGGCAACTGCTAGTCTAATTCAAAATGATCCAGATTTTATATGCTTTTAGAGAAGCTTTACAACTTGTTTGGAAAGTTTAAAAAGCTTTAAACTTCAAATGCTCCGTGATAAAATAAAAAGAGGACTTGCATGCATCACAAGTCACTCTTACGACAATTAGGCCACAATGGGGGCTAAAACATCAAGCGAGCTGCTCATGACTACAGCAGTGGAAACATAATTACCTGTTTCTCCCCACAATGTGTCGGTGCCATTGACTTCGATTTCATGTTCCTCTTCCATTCCCAGCAAGCACTGGACCACCTGTCAGAAGTGCCAAGGTGATTTAATGAGTTCTCATAGCAATAGGTGCTTATTATATTCCATATATCAAAGAAGAGTGTTGTTTTTAACTATTATTATCTCATGCTGCACAAAGAGAGAAAATATAATGAAAACTGTTTTCAAGCATAATTCATATGCTATTCACACTTTCACTTGGAGAAGAATTAAAAAAAAATCTCCGTGAATTTCAGCAACACTGTTTAGGATTACTAGGTACTCAGAATTCTAATGAATTCCAACATGACCCAAATATGCCAGCCTAATCAACAAAGGACATGGCAGACTGTGTAAAGTGCAGTTTCTGCATAAATCACCAGAAGATGGTGAATCCATTTTTCACAAGGAAGGAAAAAAAGGTGATATATACTTTGTTCAACAACAAAAAAAATTTTTTTAAAGTACTGTCCAAGTGATTTTTCTACTGACAGCATTGTTCTTTTCCTCCCAGGCATCATTCTGTCAAAGAGCAGGTCAGGTCTGAAGGCAGGAAAGCTGGCTCTCAAGGAAACAAAGAATCCATGCCCTGGACCAGAGCCAACATTCACCTGAGCAGCAGCAGTGACAGGAGCACAAGACAAAGCCATCTTTCAGTCTCCCAATCCATACTACGGTATGCTAAAGAATGGCCCCCAAACAGGCTCACAACCTAACTTCAGGCACCTGTAAATGTTACCTTAAATGGTAAGAGGAACTTGTCAATGTTGTTACCAGCCTTGAAATGGGAGATTATTCTGAACTATCAGTGTGTACAGTGTATCTGCTATACACCTGATATAATCATGGAAGTCCTGAGGGAAGGACAGGAGGAACCCAGGCTGGAGAAAGGAAATGGCATCATGACAGTTGAAATGATGTACTCTAATGAAGGAGGAAGGGGCCACAAGCTACGGAATACAGATGGCTTCAAGAAGCTAGAAAAGTCAGAACCTTTCCTAAAGAAAGCTGGCCTCCTTACACCTCCATTTTAAACTTTTGACCTGCAGAAATCTAAGAGTAAGTATGTTGTTTTTAGCAACTTATAGCCATTTTTTACAACAGATTTAAGAAACTAACAGACCAGACCCTTCAAACAGTTTCATGAATAAACCATGCTTTTTTCCATAAAATGGCTGGTTACTGGGGTGTTTTTTGCTCAGTATTCCTCCAAGCCATCTTTAAAATGAGGGGTGAACATGAGTTGGGGGTTGTATCTTAACAAGGTGTTCACACTCTTCCCAATGATAATTTTTCAAATTCTGGACCATCTCAGACTTGGAGAACAGTTTAAAAAGGAAAAAACATCTCTATTTCCATATACGTATATGATGTGACACGCTCTGTGTATTTAGTCCTATGTATTTTTTGGTATTTTAAATGTCAAGTCAGCCAGCAGTACATGCTTCTGTGTGTGTTTGCCCTTGTGTTTAAGTGCAACTGTCAGCCACCCAGCTTGGCACTCAAATTTACTCTAAGCCATTCTGGGGAAAGAATCTTACCAAATACTGGCACCTCTAATTGCTTGAAGATAATACAGAGTGAGCAATACATGGAAGAGCGTGAGTAAAATGTTATTAAATTCATAGACAAAGCTAAGACATAGGTCAGGAGATGACAATTAAATCTTCAAACTGAGGAATACCAACATCTACCAGAAATAAATGCTCTATTTAACTGCTGCATGCAGTTTTCCTTCAGTGTAGAAACTACAGTGACAAGCATTCTTACGTGCTTTCAAAGCATTAAAATTCTATTTTTAAAAAAATCCTTCAAATACTCAAGAATGATTTTAGAACTAGGACTCTTTGTGATTTTTTTTTAAGATTACAAGGACAAAAGAATGAATCAAAGGGAAAAAAATAAGACAGCAGGGTGGAAGGTAAAAGTAGAACAGGGAAGGAAGAGAGAAACAGGAGGAAGAGTAGAGCCTGAGCATAGCTGAGAGGCCTCGTGTGGGCATGCGACCATGGGCTCACTTGTAGGAAGGATGTGGTGTCAACAGAAGTCAACAGCTAGTTCCTTATTTTCTTTCATTCCTTGAGTGCATCACAGACTCACAACTGGGAAGGTGGTGACTGACCAAAGCAAGTGATCCACTGGGCCAGGGCTTCCCTTTTCCCAGGAAGGAGCCCCGTGGTCCACTTACCGAGCTGTGGCCCATGCTGGCAGCCGCTGTCAGTGCCTGCTGCAGAGCTTGGCTTTTCCTCAGTGTGCCAGGTTGGGGAGGACCCACTGACCACTCACAGGTTAATAGGTACTGGAGAATGTTGCTATGGCCCCGCAGTGCACTGTGGACAAGTGCACACTGGCCTTTCTTATCCAAGTGATCCACCTGAGGGGCAGGAGCAAAGGAAGAGCACAGGTGAGCATCCCTTTACTCTAAGAACACCAGTGCACCCAAGGCCATGTGCAAACTGCACCCTATCATAAATGGATGTGGGTTCACAATCCAGCTCACCTGCCTGGACAGCACTGAATCTTTGTTTAGAACACTAATTACTCCACAAAGATACTCTCCACACCCAAATGTCTCTTTGGCAAATTACTTGGAGCCCCAACTTCTTTTGTAGCATGTATGAAGGCATAGACCAAAATCTTTGACAAAGCCCTTTGTTCCCGATGGGGTACTTATGGGGAGCATTCTCAGGCTGCTGTGAAGAGCTGCCATTTGGGGGAGGAGAGCAGCTCCTTGCTCACCAAGGGAATCAAAGAAAGGGAGGCATCTACAGAATATAGCTCTGAACAAGGAAGGCCAGGAGAGGAGTGCATGCAGGCAGGTGACCTGGGACATCCTGGCATGTAAAAGTGGAGCCTACAAAGTTTGGGGAGGCCAGTTAGTCAGAAAGGGGAGTTTGTGAGTGCTGCCTACCTTCTAAAGGCCCAAAGGTAGCAGGCGGCCCATCATCCCCATCTAAACCCAGGCAGTACTGGGACTGAAGAAGAGCACAGGGCCTAGGCTTGCTGTGTTTGCAGATTCTGGGGAGCCCTGCATCCTTACTCAGGGGCTTTGTAAGAGCAACCAACATGACTATTGGCCTCCTTCAAGTGAGTTTTCAGCTGTGATAGGAGGGGCCTGCTGGCCTCAGAATAAAACCAAGGGACAGTTGGGAGCTGGAAATGGAGGCATGTAAAATGCAGCAGTTAAATAGAGAAGACGAACCAATTCAGGTAACAATACACATAGACATGAAAATGTCACCATGAAACTCCCTGTATAGATATCTTAAACAAACAAAAATGTCTTTTTTTAAAAAATGAGAACAGGAAGGTAAAAGATCCTGTCTGGGGTTGGTACCAGTGGGAGGGGAGGAGATATTGGGTGAGGGTAAATATGGTAAAAATATTATGCACTTACGTAAGAAAGTAGAAAAATCAGACCTGTGAAACTATTCCAGAAATGGGGGGAAGGGGCATAAAGGAGAATGTTGGCAGGGGGTTAACTTTGATATATTGTAAAAACTTTTGTAAATGTCACAATGTACCCCCAGTACAACAATAATAAAAAAATTAGGAAGAAAAAGACACGTGCTGTGAAGGTTCAGCAAGACATTTCCCCTCTAGGAGTTCACATTTAGACGTCCCAAACCCTAGATTTTTGAGAAAGAGAGAAATGAAGTCTCCAAATGCTACTAGAAGTCTAACGTTTAGTGGGTTTATTTTGGTTGACCTTCAAATATCCTAATTAATTCAGCAGGCAAAAGACCATTACAAAGTCTTATCTGTTATTAGATTTGGCAATGAAGTGCTTATAGTAAACCTGAAGGAAGAGTCCTGTGAGCTGAGCATCCTTATTTAATCTGGGAGCACTGGCCATTCTAAAGTAACTGGCATAGCAACCCACTGTTGTTTCCAACTGATAGTAGTAATCGCTTGATTTACTGCTCACAGCAAGACTCTGCTGTGGTTCCTGCTGGACAGATGAGAAGACTGAGCTTTAAGGGCTCAGTAACTCACCCAACATACCAGCTGCTAGTGGAGCAAAGACTCCAGGCCATCTACTTCCTGTAACTCAAGCACAGAGCTTCTAAGAAGCACAGAACTCACATGAGCAGGCGGAGAAGAAAGCAAACACTTAAGACCCTTTTAACCAATTGTGGCTATGTTGAACTCTATAGTAAGTTCTAGGTAAATACCTGCAGGCTGTGTGAGGATGGTTCTACTTACGCAACTAGTGGACAGGAGGCTCCCTGGTGCCTCATCTCGGACAATAATAAGTAGAGAAATAGTTGAGGCATGAACTCATGGTCCACCTCTCTCCTGAGACTGCCTCCCCCAAGCTGACACGGACAGCTCTACCCTCTCTATGCGGCACTTTCTCACTTCCCTGCAGTTTGACAAAGGAGAAAGCAAGCGAGACTAGCCCACAAGATAACAATTCCAGCAATGATAGGAAGAGACTCCCCACCCATCCCATGCCCTGGCTGTAGTTCCCCACAGTGGGGAAGTCTGTTGCTTACCCTTGCCCCCTTTTTGGTCAGCAGACACACCAGCTTCATGTGGCCAGCAGCTGCTGCATAGCAGAGTGCAGTCATGCCATTCTCTGACATTCCATCCAGGCAGGCGCCGAATTCCAAGAGTAGAGTGACAACTTCCTCATGGCCCAGGTGAGACTGGATGCACAGGATGGGGGCATTATTTAACACTTCTGTCCTGTAGTTCACGTTGGCTCCTCCCAAAATCAGGAGGCGGCTCACCTGTTGGACAATGTCCCCCAACAAGATTAACTACTCATATACACTTTAGTTTCAACAGCATCTGTGGAGAAGGGCAGTAGTCTCAACTTTTTGTTTTTAACCTAGTGGATCTCAAACTTGTTTGTGCCCCAGTATCAAACAAGGGATGTGTGAATAATGTACATGCTCACTGGTGGGAACATCAAACAGGGCAGCCACAATGGAAAGCTGTTTTATAGTTCCTCAAGAAAATTAAGAAGGCTGGTAGAGTGGCTCAAGCAGTAAGAGCACCTGCCTTGCAAGTGTTAGGCCCTGATTTCAAACCCCAGTGCCTTGGGGAAAAAAAAAATTAATACTAGAACTACTATATGATCCAGAAATCCCACTCTGGGTATAGCAGACCATTGGAATCCATTGGTACATGGTTCCAAGATCACTGTTGAGGAAATACTGCATGCTCAGGATGCACAGAGTTCAGTACTGTACTGCAGATGTTTGTTTCATTTTTCCCATGACATCACCCAACTTTCACTAAGGAAATGCCGACTTTCAACAAATCTACAATTTTCTCTTTATCACTTCAATTTAAGCACATTAACATTGTCCTTGCTTTGGGCATCCTTTGCTTTCTGGAAAGCCTATTTCACAAAATCAAGGAAGGGAAACACTTAGCAGATTACACAATTTCAACACAACTGACAATAACATGGGACTGACTGACTGCTTCTTTGCATCAACTGAGCCGTGTAATACATGCACAGGAATTTAAATTTTTTGTTTTTGAAACTTGATTTTTTTTTTTACTGCGAGTGGTCAAAACTGTGTGTAATAAATCTGTTAATAAGGTGTTCCTACTGGATATTAAAAATTATTAAAAGTAGGCTCTTGAGGAACTATTTGCACACCCATGTTTGCTGTAGTAGCATTCACAAAGGCCAAGAATGGAGGCAACTCCAATGTCCATCAGAAGATGAATGGTTTAAGAAAATGTGGTAGGCACATTCAGGGGGAGATCTATCACTCAGCCTTAAAGAGGCAGACAATTCTCACAAGCTACAATAGAGAAGGATATAAAAACTGTGATAAGTTAAGTAAACCAGAAACAAAAGGACAAATAAGGTATGACATTACTTATGAGGCACCTACAGTAATCAAATACATAAGACACAGGAAGTGGAGCGTTGCTTTCCCGGGCATGGGCAGAGGGGACATGAGAGTTGTTTAATGGATAGAGTCTTAGTTCTACAAGATGAAAAGTTCTAGAAATTTATCACACAACAATGTAAAAATACTTTACAGACCTGTACACTTAAAATGGTTTATATTATGTGTTTTTAAAATCACAATTAAAGTAAGAATTTTAACATGCAGAGTGCAGCTCCTCCACCCAGGTCTAGGTGTTGCATTTTTAATGAGTTCCCAGGTAAGACTAATGCTGTTGATTTAGGAAAGCACACTTTAAAAAAAAAAAAAATCACAGTTTAACTTAAATAAAAACAAACTTTATTTTTGTAGCAATTAAATAATCATCACAGGATTAAATAATTGGCAGTAAGAAAAAGCAAAAAGAAAATACAAATAGTCTCTTTTCTTATAATTACTGCTCCTGTCACCCACTAAACACCTTGCATCCAGGTCTCGGGGAGTTTTCTATCTATGAATTTTTAAATAAAATCACTTTACATATGCAAATTTTAGCTATATCAATATCTCCTTCAAATCTCCAGATCAGTATAAAAAAAATGACTCCTCTTAAGATGCCTAGTGCGTTTCTTCACACGGTTGCCTTCGACAGTCCCAACCTACATCTATCACTCCCCCTGCAAGACCCTGGCAGGTCCTCAGGCTGCCATTAAATGTGAAAGCCACAGAGACTGTGTCATTTATTAGACTAAAGACACAAGGGGATGATTAAAAGATACAGGAAGATGACAGGCATATGAAATGCAGGGCACTTCAGTGATATGTGTTCAGGAGAGTAGCTGACAGAATATTTACAAACTGATGGGTGTAGGAGATGAATCTATCAGGTAGAAAAACCACAGCTCACAATCACACACCAACTCATTAGAGCCCACAGTCAAATCTGAAGATGGCTGCTGCTGAAGCTTGTATCCCTCATGATCCGGGCCACCAGCTTCCTCTCTGACCTGGTCTTCTGGGTCTTTCTCCTCACTTCCCTTATTGTGGGCACCAGGCCCTAAGGTTTATTGCAGACAATGCCAAAGCAAGCCAGGGCCTCATGGCCTCTGATTTGAACGCTCATTGTATAGACAAACATGCCAAAGAATCACTTCCTATGGGACTTTGCTCCAGTACCAGGACTCCAGAGAGAAGTCCTCACCCACACAGAATACCACACCCAAGTATACCCCGCATGTGCACACACCCTCGGCCCTCAGCACATTCTGCTCTCTTGCTTATCCCACTGCATCAGACACTGGATCTAGGGCAGAAGTTCACAAAAGAGAGGCAACTGAAGACCCCACCATAGCCAGGGCTGGCCCTTATGTCAGGTCTTTCACATCACTGGGACCACTGCTTATCCATAAGGAAGGAAGGAAGGACAGGCCACACACATTGTGATGCAAAGGGCCTACTGAGCCAGCTGGCTACCTGACGACCCACCCAGTTGCTGACCCTGTCATGTAGCCAAACCCAGGCCAGCATCAACCCAGTTTTAAGACAGAAAAGGGAGACAGGGACAAGAAGTCTGAAAAAGTATTCCTGTTCTGATGTTGATATTAAATGTAAGATTCAGGCAAGCAATGTAAATGATCCCTTCTACAAAGCCACCAGATTCACTCTTTAAAATATCACTAGTATAATTCCTAAGTATTTTTAAACTCTAAGTGCTAAATAAAAGGAGTTTATAATTTCCTTTTGAATAACTATCATCAGTATGGACAATGCTAAAGAAATACTTGGGGATTTTACCAAGGCCTAGGACACCAATTTGGACAAAGAGGAGCTTAGAGGATATATAAGCAGATAGATAAGACTACTGAGGACCACCATGGGATAGGCAGGAATAGCTGTAAATTCCCTGGATGACTCTGCCAGCCAGTTACCATGTCCTTTCCCCACTAACCTCATCCCTTCTTGAGACGCACAGGCCTGAGAGAAAAAAGATGATGGATTAAATAGTCTAAACTCTTAGTCTGCCACTTTAATTTGCTGTGTGACCTCAGAAAATTACTCAACTTGTATGTTCTTTGGGTGCCTCCAAGAAATAAGCAGTCACCTCATTCCACCCAACAGGTTCCCCTTGCAAACAATGTGGGAGGTGTACATTTAGTACTATGATGCATACCCTATAAGACTTCTCCTGGAAGGTATGTGTTTAGGGGCAAAGCTATATGTTTGTCATCGATTCACACCTCATCTGCTTCTGAGAAAAACATTACCTTAGTTGGTGCAAAGCTGTGGGCATTTTTAGTACTTAGGTCGCAGTTTGTGGATCTTCATATAACCTGTGGTTCTTACTCCTGATGCACACTGGAACCACCTGGGAGAATAAACGTTTCCAGTGCTGGGGAGCCCCACGGTGGAGATTCTGACTTCACTGGGACTGAGGCTCTGGCACCCAGAGCTCCCAAGCTCCCAGAGCTTGACAGGTAGGGTTGTAAACACATCAAGTGATAAAGGAATCTGCAGGCAAGGTGCAAGGGTGCTGAGCGTCAGGTGTCCTTTCAGCTGTGTAATTTGGGGAACAATACCAAACCTCAACTTCCTCAACTGAAAAATGAGGTTGAAAGCAATTTTACTTCAGTGGGTGGTTCTGAAGATTAAACATGAATGTCCAAAAAAGAGACATGTTTATAGGTATTTGTGCTTATACACACCCTTCCCCGCACACCCACAAAGTATTTAGCACAGCACTCAGCATCCTGAAAGTGCTGAATAAATATTAATTGCTATTGTTACCATTATCCCTTTTGTGGATCTTCAGAGGAAGTTCGCAAATGACCAAGAGTTTTGGCCTCCAGTCCACACGGCCCAAAGGCTGTTCAAAGCACAGAGCAGCAGGGAGATTCATGTAGGGTGGAGGGCAGATGTGCCTCACCTGGAACCATGAGACCTCAGGGCAGGCAGTTGCTGTTTACAGCCACTAACAAAACATACAGAAATTCCTAGGTGCCTGCGGCCCTTGTGTATCACAGTTTCCAGAGACAAGGTGAAGCACAGCGACAAAGCACTCAAAAAACGCCAGCTTCTTTCCCAAGAGCTTCAATATTGAGCCTTCTGATCACTCTGGGAGAGAGGTTCTTCTGCTGTTTCCATTTTATAGGTGAGAACACTGAGGCTCAGAGCAGGTAGGGAAAAAAAGCCCACTCCTGCCTGGAACAGCCCAACAACAAAGTGGCAGCTCCAGTTAGACTTCAGTGCCCAAAGGAAGGCAATGAAATGGCCATTCTATACATTTTTATTTGTTTATTTTGTTTTGTTGAGACAGGGTTTCACTAAGTAGCCCATTCTGGCCTCAAACCTGCAATTCTATCTCAGCCTTGAGGTGCTGGGATTAAAAGCATGTACCACCATGCCCAGTTCATCCATTCGTGTCCAACAGCACAGAGTTTTCAGTCTTTATCACAGAAGCTCTCCTTAGCTAACCCTTAGAAGCAGCAATATTATTTATAAACTCAAGACTTAGTGAATGTAAGTACAAACAAAATGGCACTGGGGGGTAGGCCAAGTGATATGACCATGAGAAAAAGGCCAACTTGGCTATGAGGCAGGAGTCACATTTTCTTCACTAAGTACACCAGAAAATTCCTGAGGTGCAGCTGTTTAAAAAAGTGCTGTACCTAATTGTGGTGCAGAATATGACTGGCTTCCCCACACCCAGCCAAGGAAAGTTAGGCCAAGTTACCCCTCACTCCTATTCTTTCCTTCCTAAGCAGAAAAACACAACCTGCGTTCTCCCAGGTCCACGACCCTGGCTGATGGCCAGTTCTATGAGAAGGTACAGCAAAAATGACCAGCTAAACAGGACCCCAGCAGGCCGGCCAGGTGCAGCCTGTCCTAACCCTGGCCCAGTGATGGGAGGCTAAAGTGTTAGAAATCACTTGCCTGCCTCCAAAATTACTAAGTAATCATTCCAGAGCAAGTCACTTTAATTTACAAAAGTGGCAAACTGCAATTATTGCTCAAAATGACATTCATTCCTGTATGACAACATTTAATATGCTAAAAAAAGTTCCTTAATTGCATGCATAATTTTAAATTACTATAATTTGCTCAAGATTCTGTGAAAACCTTTTTTGTCCCCCTTCAAAGATTAAAAAAAAAAAAAAGAAGGATAATGGAAAGTCTTAAGATTCTATAACAAATTAAATAATTTTGGGGATGGGATTCATGTAGGTGACACCAGTTTTATAAAACAAATAAAAATGAACTCTTAAAGGTGCTATGTTAAAGATGAAAGAGTTCTAATCCCAAGAGTCAAGTTCATTGCATTGTTATGTTGTACCTTTTTATTGCTGTCTTAAAAACCTGTATTCAATATAGTATGATGTTTCCCGTTAGATTTCTCTGCATTAAAGGAAAAACTTTTGGGGATGGGCATGTAGCTCAGTGGTAGAGCGCTTGCCTGGCATGTACACCCTGGGCTCCATCCACAGCACTGTGGAGGGCGACGGGCAACTTCTGTGCTGTGCCCATAAATTCCTTAAGTTAATAAAAACAGATTATCATTTTTATTTCTATTTCTTTTCTGTTTGTTATCACATAGAATTTTTTTTAATTATGGAGAAGTCAAAAGATCTACTGTTTGCTGGCAAGAAAGATGAAACAATGTTATAGTATCTTAACCTCTAATTCTTATGAAATCTAAGTGAAAAATAAAAAGTATTTTTTGGTAGTACTTGTGAATGATCTCAGGGCTTAGTGCTTGCAAAGCAGGCACTCTACTTCTTGAGTCACACCTCTAGTCCGTTTTGCTCTAGTTATTTTGAAGATGGGTCTTGCAAACTCTTTGCCAGGGTTGGCCTTGAACTGCTATCTTCCTGGTCTCATCCTCAAAATAGCATGAATTAAACACATGACCCACTGGTGCCCAGGCTGGCCTTGAACTCACGATCCTCCAGCCTCTGTCTCCCAAACAGCTGGGATTACAAAAATAAAAAAATTCTTAATAAAGCTTCTTCATTATGTGACATCTAAACTTAAAGAAATATCTACCTTTATTTCAGAGGAACTGCATCCAGAACATAAGTGTTCCCTCTGATCAGGATCAGAGAAGCTGGTTCTCCCGAACTAAAAAAAAAAAAAAAAAAAAAATGGCTTCCTGGCTGGGCATAGAGGTGCGTGCCAGGGAGGTGGGGGGACTGGCAAGACCTCATCTCAACCAACAAGCTGGGTGTGGTAGTTCATGCTGCAATCCCAGCTACACAGGAGACAGAAGTAGGAGGATCACAGTCCAAGGCCTGTGATTTCAGATTATCTGAAAAATAACTAAAGCAAAAAGGATTGGGAGCATGGCTCAAGTGGTAGAGCACCTGTCTAACAAGTGAGAGACACTGAGTTCAAACCCCAGTACCACCCATTCTCTTCCTGCCTCCCCGCCAAAAAAAGGCTTCCTGCCTGTCTGTCTATAAAAACCCGCATGTAGGACTCTGCTGGGACACAACTGAGATCTTTCAGTTGAGAGTGTGAGCACTAATATGCTAAGGAAAAGGAATGGAGTAGGGCCAAGCATGGGATCCCAGTGAGCAGTTCTACCAAGAAGCCCAGCTAAGCGTAAATCAAAGCTAAAATCCAACAGGCCCGCTGCCCTTCGGTCTCTGACACTAATGGGGGCTAGGTCCACCTGAACAATGTGGCACTTTTATTCTTACAAAGCCACTGTCTGCATCCACCCTGCATCCAGCAGCCTCTGGGTTGGCCATGCCCAGGCTCTGGGCACTGCAAGGTCCTCCCTGACACCCGGGAGCCTCAGGCAGCTTTGTAAAACCCTCACTCCACAAACTTACCAGAGAGACAGAGAAGGGAAAATGGGGCAGAGCACGCCTCTAACCAGACAAGACCAGACCCCAAGGTGAGCATGTTGAGGGTCAGGTGTGTGGACAGCAGGGGAGGAAAGCCACCCAAGGCTCTAGGAGTGTCCCCCATGGCTTCACCTCTGGTACATACTGTCCCCTACCCAGGTGGGTTTGAAGAGCATCAGTGAGAAGTAGATGTCAGATGCCTGGAATATGACCAGGGCTTCACCTAGCCCTTCATTGGATGATCATGTTAGGCTCTCCTGTATTGCTAAGAGGGGACAGATTCAATAATCATTTCATAGATGTGACTTACGGGGGAAGACTCGGTTCACTGGGAAACCACGCCACAGCTCCATAGGCAGCCGGACACGCCAGGGCCTGGGACTGAGAGGCCTGGACACGTCTCTGTAGCCTTAATGAAATGTATGACCCCTGTGAATTTCTGATGATCAGACTGCATTAAATGGGGACAGAAAAATCTACCTTAAAAAGTAGAGCAGAATATTGTGACATGAAACTACTGACCACGAAGCAAAGAAGTTCTTGGCTCAGAAGCTGGCCAACTTAATACTCTTTCCAAAGTCAGAAATGCAGCTCATCTGCAAACTCTTGTCATCATTTTTCTATGTTCTCTTGGCTTCATGTCACTCATGGATGCTTAATTTTCTATGAAGCATGAAGATATCATTTAGACCCAAGGCACTTTAAAAAAATCCTGTTTCTCTGGCAATCTCTCCCAGAGAATTTCCTTTGTGAACTGCTTTCTCAACACATTCACTCTGAAACAGTTGCCATGTGGTCACACAGCAGCCTCAATTACCCAGATCTTCCTGCCAGAGCAAAAGCTAAACTTCTAACAGAGAAATGTGTGGTTTACATGGGGAACAGCATCGATAGGAGCTCCTTTGCTCCACACATGCTAGCCGGTGCTGGGGATGGCAGGACTGGAGAAGGAGGAAGAACAGGCCCAGGCCACAGCTCTGCTCCTTGTGTTCACAGCTACTCACCTTCACATTGGGAGTGTAAAGATTCCTGAGAGAAGCAAGGGCAGCAGACAGTCCCTCAGTGCTGTAACCAATCCACAGGGCTTGCAGATGGCTTGAAGAGATTCCAGTCTTCTTACTGAGGCCCTGGAAACAACCAGAGATAGATCTTCCTGAGAGTCTCCTTCCCATATAGGGCATCACTTTGAATGCAAGTCTGCCCCAGAGGGTGTGGATGCATGCTGAATACTTGGCAATTTGTGCAAAGGACGCCTGGACAAGGGCCAGGAAATCACCTGCCTTTGCCACGTGAACCACACAAGTGGGGGAAAGAGATGGCAAATGAAGAGAAAGTTTCCCTTTATAGAAGTAAATTAGAGAAAGGCTAAATGATAAGATTAGAGAATCACCATCGTAACTCCTACTGAATGAATGATTCTAGGCATTACCTATAGAAATGGCTGATAGCATCACAAAATAAGAAGCAAGCACAAATGCTGTGCCTCCTGATACAAGAAACTCTTACCCTTTGTAATCTTGACATCTTAGATGGGGAGAAAAAAAAAATCAACCCAGACCTGATTAAACTGCTATATACAACTACCTAATGAAAGGAAATTCAGGGGAAAAAGGAGCATGTTAAACTACACCCTGATAAACAGGCACACAATCAGAAAATCCACATGGGCCAGACATGGTGGCAAACACCTCACTTGTAGTTCCAGCACTCAGGAGGCTGATGTAGGAGGCTCATGAGTTCAAGGCCAGCTTGGACTATACAGTGAGATGCTGACTCAAAAAAACAAAACAAAAAAAATCCAAGTGGTTCAAAATTATACAGGTTAAGGGCCTCAAGTTCTTTGACAAATAAATAACAAGGAAACAAAAGGAACAAATGAAGTGGAACCTTTGGTTGGAAAGAACTTACAAAGCAAAGAGGAAAAATTTAAGCTCGACCACAGCATTTAGATTCATTCTTGTATGATAAACTAAGGAAAAGGCTAAGTCAGAACAGCGGTTACTTTTAGGGAGCAGGAGAAAGTCATGTTTGGGATGTGGCTGGCTACTCAGGGCCTTTGAAATGTCACTGAGCAGTCTAAAATCTCCCAAACTGCAAAGTGACAATGAAGAAACCCTCCCCCCATTGGTGAGCACCTCACCTTGAAAATGTGTGCCTTCAGGATGTGGTGGCCGAGCTCCATGGTCTGCTGGCGGTTCAGTTTGCCCTCCTGTCGAGAGAACATGAATGCCAGAAGCGCGTGTCCATTCCTATGAAAAGAAACACGAAGGCTCACTGACAAAAGACCTGACTCACTGCACCACAGGCCCTTGATCGTGTACATCACCATGTGGTCCTTGAACGGTCTTCCTGGTGGCTTCATTACAACCACACAGAATGGGTGAACTGCTGGTTCTTTACAAAGATGTCAAATGCTGCTTCATATTTGAGTCATGTAAGAGCTTTTTCTAGGTTCCCCTATCTCTACAAAGTGACCCATAACTTAAAGTTCTAGCATAGGGCAGGTCTGTACCTTCAGATCCATCCGCTCTCTGCTTATCACCCATAACTCTCTCTTCTCCTGAGTTGATGGCTTATGCCTATCACAAATGCAAACTCCAAGAGACAAGAAGCTTTATCCAAGTAATCAGCTATAATCACAATGTCTAGAAAAATGCCCAATACTCAGTAAACACTCAGATAGGTATTCCTGGATGGGTAGATGGATGGATGGATGAACAGGCAAATGGAGCAGACCCCTACTGGCCTTCAGGCCTCCCCTCAGTATCATCACTAGGATAGACGTGTGTCAAAAGATAAGGCCTTATTTTGTGAAGCAAAGAAAAACCAGGCCATGCTTGGCAGTAGATGCGATCAGTTATATCTATAATCTAAGCTTAGATTGAATACAGGTTCCTGTAGGTGGGGTATGGCTGGGCACATGGTCAACATTCAATGGACACCATGCATTTATTCCCAACTAACCCTTTCACAAGTGGAACCAGTCACACCCTTCCTGTCTGCAGAATTCATTTAGTCTCCTTGTGGACATGGTACCTTTGAGCCAATTTGGAAAAGACAAGAATAGTTGCTTATTCAAATAGCAGTGACTTCTGTGTAATGTGAATTATCATCATTTCTATTAACCTGACAACTCTGAGCTGCTATTTGGTTGAGGAAAAGCAGGTAGTTGTAGAAGAAAGGATAAACATTTTGTGTATGTGTGTGTGTGGTGTGTGTGTAAAGCATTCTCTTAGCAGTTGCTGACTAAGATTATTAAAAGAAAGCATTATTTAAACCATATTTCTCCGCATGCATGACAACTTCTCAAAGAAGTTATAAACTATGTCAGAGATGTGGAAATCAAGGTGGAGACCACAAGGTGAGTTTTATCTATCTATCTATCTATCTATCTATTTATTTATTTTTGTGGTACTGAGGTTTTAACTCAGGGTCTTGACAACTTTTTATTTGCCCAGGCTGGCTTGGAACTGTAATCCTCCTAATCTCTGCCTCCTGAGTAGCTAGGATTACCGGTGTGAGTCACTGGCACCTGTTAAGATGAGATTTTATTCCATGGGTAAGGGCCACACTGCCCATGGAGCATCCATAACTCTCCCACAAGCACATCTCTGTGATCCCTTGCAAATGTCCCACCACCCAGACCTCAAGCCTGGGGTTTCCACAGATGAAAGTCTCCTATGCCCTGTTACCATGGAATCTATTCTCTGCCATTCTCCAGGACTCCAGGTCCCCAAGCCATGCCCAGTCCTTTTCCATGGGTTGGTTCCAGGATTCAATCTGGCTCAGAGCACTCCAGTCAGGACTACTCTCCCAACTATGGACTAAGTCACCCTCAGCCACCCAATCACCTGAGCCTTATGGCTGTGCCTAGTACATTCACAACAAAGGCAAAGAAGATGGCAGATTAGAGGTTTCCTCATATGACTCTGTGAGTGACAAGAGGGCAAGAAAAGAAAAACTATATTCAAAGAGGGGGAGAGGTATAGCACTCTGAGAACCAAGAAAGAGGTTAACAGGAAAGTTAGAAAACATGGAGAAATAGAAAGCTGATGTGGTGAAAAATTAGAAGTATTACACAACTCCAACCTGTCTTCCCAAGGAGAGGGGAATCTGAAGTCACAAGCACAAGTTAAGCCTGAAGAGTACAAGTGGCCCCATTGACAAAAGTCTGACAGTCCTAGACACATGGTCCTCTCAAGCCTTAAATCCAGCATGTGTTGGGGGGGGGAGGGTGACTCTTCCTGTGGGGCAGGCCAGCTTTGGAGAAGAAATCTATTGCATTGCTCTCCATATCTTGGAGCGCTATACAGCCTGGTGTCACCTTGAGAGTGGGCCTATTGTTTGAGACTGAGATACTATGGAGACCCGAAAACCAGGAACTATCATAATCAGGGAGCCTAGGGAAATCTTGCCAGAGTGTCTGGGTGGGAGATGGCCACAGAGGCATTCATGGAGAGGATGAGGGTCAGACATGGACCTGCTGAAATGTTTAAGATGCTAGAGCTTAGGCTATGGAGTATGTGGTAGTTGCTGCCTCATCCTCTGTGGTGAGGATCCAGACTCGTAATCTGAAGATTACCAAGGGGTTGGATCTGAGGGCACTGAGGCCAAAATCAGTAGATTACATAATTCCTGAGGCTCCTTCCCTGTCTCATGTGGCCCACTGTAGGGCACTGGGTTTGAAAACACTCAGACTGGGCCACTGGATTACTCACTTCCCATGGCTCTTACTCTCCAGTGCAGAATTCAGTGCTCTGCTTGCTCCCCTCAGTCTCTGACACATTCAGTGATACTCCTTAGCTTGGATGTTTTTACCATTCCTGGGTGCATAGATGGAGGGGTACACAACAAAGGGAAGCCTCTGGAGTTAATACTGCCCTATGGCTGGCAACATACCCTTGACAAGCTCAGCCCTCAGCCCACATACAGTTCCAGCCTGTATAGTAGGAACAGAGAAGAACTATAAAACTCCAACCACAACTCACTACTCGCCTATACCTAGTGGATTCCAATATTAGAAGACCTAAAAAGAAGCTTTTTGTATCTCATACCTAAGCTAGAATTATTTCTCATTGGATTTGTTTTTCTTTTTCTCTCCCCCTCCTACTTTAATCTAATTTTATTTATTTATTTTTCTTTATTCTTTGGGTTTTAAAATTTTTACTTATTGTTCTTTTCTTCTTCCTTACATTCTTTCCCTTTTCTTTAAAAAAAATCTTGCTTCTGCTTTCTTCCACTTCCCCACTCTCCTTTATTTCAGTACTTTACTATTAATTTTGCCTTTGTTAATTTTTAACTTATAATTTTTTGCTGCTTTATTTTCTATGGTTTTTGATGGAATAGTTGTTTTTAATTAATTTTTACTGCATTTCTATATCTGGATTATTTTCGTGGTGTTGTTAATACTGTGGTCTGTTTTCTCCTCAAGCCCTCAACACCACCAAAATAATCAAGCAAAATTAATTCAGCAAATGATCAAATCTCTAAGATGAATAAGGTAGAAAGAAAATGACATAGAATATGTGAAGCAAACAAAATTAAAACCAAAAAAGCAATAGGTATTAGTGAGTACCTTTCATTAATAACTTTGAATGTAAATGGTCTTAAGCCTCCAATTAAAATATGTACACTAGCTGACTGGATTAAAAAATGAGATCCAACTATCTATTGTGCAAAAAATTCACATAACAAGCAAAGACATACACAGACTGAAAGTGACAGAATGGAAAATGATATTCCAAGCAAATGGAATGTGAATGCAAGTAGGAGTAGCTATATCTGACAAAGCTTCAAATCAAAATTAGTAAGAAGAACCCAAATGGTCATTACATATTGATAACAAGGGAACAATCAATCAAGAAGATACAATGATGACCCCCAGTACCAAAAAAGAAAAGATTTTTAAAAAGAAAATAATATGACTGTAAATATATATGTACCAAATGTCAGTGCACTCAATATCATAAAACAAGCACTATTGGACATAAAGGGACAGATAGGCCTTAATAAAATAACAGTGCATGACTTTACTATTGCACTCTTGAGAATAGCTCATACAGACCTTCTCCCCAAAATTAACAAAAAACAATCAGTTAAACTACTATGTATCAAATAAGACTTAAACATCTACAGAATATTTTTCCTAAGAGAAGCAGAATACACAGCTTAGCAGCTCACGTAATTTTCTCCAAAGTAGATCATATTTTGGGTCATAAAACAAGTCTTAACAAATACAAAAAAAAAAACTAAAATAATTTCTTATATCTTATCAGATCACACTGAAACTAGAATAGATCATATTTTAGACCATAAAGCAAGTCTTAACAAACACAAAGCACTGCAGTAATTTCTTGTATCTTATCAGATCATAATGAAACTAGAATGGAATGAAACTAGAAATCAATAGCAAGAGAAACTACAGAAACAACATAAGCACATGGAGATTTAACAGTACACTTTTAAACAATCCATGAGATCATTAAAAATTGGGGAAATGGAAACACAACATATAAGAATCTGTGGGAAATTTATAGTTATGAGTGCATGAACATAGAAACAGAATGTATGACTATCTCAAGTAACCTAAAGATCTTGTTCTTATTTAGAAGAACAAGAACAAGCCAAACCTGAAACCAGCAGAAGGAAAGAAATAAAAATCAGAGTTGAAATGAATGAAATAGAGACTAAAAGAACAATACAAAGGACCAATGAAACAAAAAGTTGGTGCTTTGAAAAGACTGAAAAACCCTTAGTCAAACCATCCAAAAGAAAAAGCAAAGAGACAAATTCATAAAATTAGAGACAAAAAAGGAGATACTATAAACACCACTGGAATCCAGAGGATCATTAGGAACTACTTTGAAAAGTTACATTCCAATAAACTGGAAAATTTAGAAGAAATGGGTTAACTTGTAGACACATGAAACCTACCAAAGTTGAACCAATGGAATACAAAAACCCTAAACAGATCAATAACTATGAGATTGAAGCAGTAATCAAAAGTATCCCAACAAACAGAATCCAAGAACCAGATGAATTCACTGATGAATTTTACCAGACCTTTAAAGAAGAACTAACACACTGTTCCTCATACTATTCCATAAAATAGAGATGGAAGAAATGCTTCCAAACCCATTCCACAAGCCATTGTTACCCTGATATCAAAACTGGATAAGGATACAATAAAAAAGGAAAACATAGATGCAAAAATCTTCACTAAAACACTGGCAAACCAAATTCAACAACA